TAGTGATGATAAATTCCCTTAGTGTTTGCTTTTCTGAGAAAGACTTCCTTTCTCCTTCATTTATGAAACTTAGTTTTGTAGGGTACAGGATCCTTGGCTAGCTATTATTCTGTTTGAGAAGATAAAGATGGGGCCCAATCCCTTCTGGCTTATAGGATTTCTTTTGAGAAGTCTGCTGTCAATCTGATGGCTCACCTTTGTAAGTTATTTGATGCTTTTGTTTCACTGCTCTTAAAATTATTTCCTTCATGCTACCTTTGCATAACAGATGATTATATGCCTTGGGGAATTACCTTTTTGTAATGAATCTTCTGGGGCTTCTTTGGGCGTCTTGTATCTGGGTGTTTAAACCTCTAGCAAGAACCAGGGAAATTTTCCTCCATTATCATATCAAGTAGATTTTCCAAACCTGTTGCCTTCTCTTCCTCAGGAAAGCCTCTAATTCTCAGGTTTGGATGTTCTACATGATGCCACATTTCTTGGAGACTTTGTTCTATTTTCTTGATTCTTTTTTCTTTATTGTTGTCTGGGTTAATTCAAAAGCTGACTACGAGTTCTGAGATCTTTTTTTGTGCTTCCTCTAGTCTGCCATTAAAGCTTTCCACTGCATTTTGACTGTTTTATTTCCAGAATTTTACCTAAATGATTGCAATCTAAATGATTCTTTCATTTCCAGAATTTCAGTTTGTTTTTATTTTAAGATGCCTATGTCTTCAGAGAATTTTTCATTCATGTCCTGCATAGTTTTTAAAATTCTTTGTGGTTTCCAACTTTCTCCTGAATCTCACTGAGCAATTTTATAATCAACCTTTTGAATTCTGTCTCTGGAATTTCAAAGATATCATTTTGGTTAGGATCCCTTGCTGAAGAGTTAGTATGGTCTTTTGGAGCTGTTGAAGAACCTGTTTTTTTCATATTATCATAATTATTTTTCTGGTTCCTTCTTATTTGGGTAGACTGTTTCTTCTTATCTGAGGTTGGTAGGGGGCTGACAGACTCTGTAGGTTTACCTTGGTTTTAAATATAGCCTCGGCATGGTGAGCTTCTCAAGTGCCAACTGTGGTGGTCCTGTACTGGGTACCTGCACAGGCTCAGAGCATCCTGAGTAGCCCAGGTGGCTTGGATAGTAGTGTTGCTGGGTTGTGGGATCAGAACTCCAGCCAGGAGGTGGTGCTTGTGGGAGGGAACCACAAGCTATGAGTTTTCTGCCTGGTTTGTGTTGGTACAATGAAGTGCCTGGTTTACCCAGGCAGTGGGCAGGGCTATGGGGATTATCCAAGTTCTCTGTTTTGAGCCTTCAAGACGGATGCAGGGGGTGGTAGGGGGGGGAGCATAAACTCTCTGCTTTTGTGCACTCTTGGCTACTGCAGTGGGGATTGAGAGAGAGTCTCCCGCCACTAGGGTAAATGCTGTTGTGCTGAGGCTGCACAAAAGGATTTGCCTTGGGAGTGAACGGTTACTATGGCAACAAGTCCCACCTAGCTCCCTCCACCTTAGTCCCAGGCAGTCTGCCTTCTGAATGTCAATGTGCAGCTAGCCTCAGGTGTTTTCACAACAGCTCACCCCAGCCAGAATTGTCTGCCACCTCAGAGTATGTCCTTTGGGCCCATCCCCATGCGGACAGGCTAGAAGACCACTGTCAAGGGATGAGTTCCTGAGATAGGGTGGCTGGAGCTTCTTAAGGCTTTTTTTTCCCCCCTGCATGCACCACTTAACATGGGTTTTGGCAGAGAATGGCCATGGGGCAATGAGTGTCCCATGAGGGACTAGAGTCCCTCAAGGTTCAGAGGGCCCTCTAAGTCTGTGACAGAAACACAGAATTCCTGAATTCCCCTCACTCACCAGAGGCTGCATGTCTTTGCTGTGACCCCAGGAAAAGTCTAGGTGGGTTGTTTGTTTTCACACCAAGTTTTGAGAGCTCTGTGTATTGGCTGTACTTATGTGGGTCAATTGATGGGCTCTGTATTCTGTTCCTTTGATCTATTTGACTGTTCTTTCACCATTACCACACCATCTTTGTTATTGTGGTTTTGAAGTTGGGTAGTGTCACTCCTCCAATTTTCTTGTTCTTTGTCAGCGCTGTGTTGGCTATTCTGGGTCCTTTGCTTCTCCAAATAAACCTTAGAATCAATTAGTCAACACCCGCAAATCACTTCTTGGATTTTGATTGAGAATGCATTGAATCTACAAATAAATTTGGGAAGAACTGACATCATGACAGTATTGAGCCTTCATATCCATGAACATGGAATATCTTTCCATTTATTTAGTTCTTTGATATCATCAGCATTTTGTAGTTTTCCACATATAGATCTTATACATGTTTTGTTAGATTTATACCTTAGTACTTAATTTTCAGGGGTACTAATGTAAATGGTAGTGTTTTTAATCGCAAATGCCACTTGTTCATTGCTAATATATGTGAAAGTTACTGACTTTTGTGTACTGACCTTATTATATCCTGCAACCTTGCTATGACAGCTTATTAGTTCTAAGAGTTTTTTGTTAATTGCTTCAGATGTTCTACATAGACATCCATAGCATCTGTGAACAAAGTTTTATTTCTTCCTTCCCAATCTGTGTACATTTCATTTCCTTTTTTTTGGTCTTGTTGCATTAGCAAGGACTTCCAGTACAATGCTAAAAAGCAGTGGTGAGAAAAGACATCCTTACCTTGTTTCTGAACTCAGTGAGAAAGCTGCTAGATTTTCACCAATTAGTATATGTTAGCTTTGTGTTTTTTGTGCACGTTCTTTATGAAATTGAGGAAATTCCCTTCTGTTCCTAGTTTGCTGAGAGTTTTTATTATGAATGGGTATTGGATTTTGTTAAATACCTTTTTCATTGATATGTTCATGTTATTTTTCTTCTTTAGCCGGTTGATATGATGGGTTACATTACTTAATTTTGAATATTGAACCAGTCTTGCATACCTGGGATAAATCTAATTTGATCATGGTATATAATTTTTATACATTGTTGGACTCAATATGCTAATATTTTGATAAGGATGTTTGCATCTATGTTGATGAGACATATTGGTTTATACTTTTCTTTTTTTGTAATGTCTTTGTGAAGTTTTGGTATTACGGTCATGCTGGCCTCCTAGAATGAGTTAAGAAGCATTCCATCTGCTTGTATCTTCTGAAAGAGATTGCAGAGAATTGGCATAATTTCTTCCTTAAATATTTTGTAGAATTCACCACTGAACCCATCTGGACCTGGGCTTTTCCTTGTGGAAAGCTATTAATTATGATGTAATTTCTTTAATAGATACAGATCTATTCAGACTGTTCTATATATACTTTTAATTGTAGTTTGATTTTTTCTGAGAAATGGTGATTGAGTTCATGGACGTTAAATGCAGATGGGCTGTAACTCCCCTAGAATAAAAGTATTGGTGTTCTCAGGGATGGCTCCACCATCAGAGCGACTCAGCCAGCTGAAGATCAGCTTCTGGAGGTCACCACTAGTATTCTGCTGCGAGGTGTGTGTGTACCTGCGTGCTTGTGTTGGAGGAGGAGCCTGTCTTCTTGCCAGATTCTCTGGGCATCTGGGAGGCTGCCTGCCTCTCTCCAGCTCTTCTTTCTTTGTGTCTCTGATACCTTCCACTTTCTGGGAAACATGATCTTGTCTGAGAGCTGATGATTTCACTTCATTCTGGAGACTCCTTGCCATGCTGAACCAGGACACAGGTACTCCCCATGGGACACTGAAGCCTCAGCTGGATCCCACCTCAGGAACTCTGCACTTGCTGTTCCCTCTGCCTTTTGCTCTCTTCCCTAGATCTCTGTGTGGCTGGCTTTCTTCCCGCCCCTCAGGAAGTTCTGACCACATGACACCTTCTTCTACAAGCTTTCTCTGCCCCTTCCCATATGCTGCCACCCTCCATTTCAGCCCCTTGCTCAAGCTGCTCCCTTTATTTTCCTCTTAGCACATGTCAGCAGCTACAGGTCAAATCGGTGGGCCCATCTGTTGTGTCTGCTGCCATCAGAAGTCAGTTCCATGATGGCAGGGCTTTGCCTTCTTCTTGCAGAGCTTAGACACAGGTCTGACCCAGAACAGATGTGCAGTGTTTGGGGAGTAAGTGGGGGGGTCTCCTGCTCTGGACAGGCCTCACTGAGTGCCCTAGCCTGACCCTGCCCAGCTCTATGTGGCTGGGTACCTGTGGAGAGGGAATGGGGATGGCTGGCAGCCACACCCAGCAAGAGCCACACCCAACAACAGGCTCAGGTGGGCTTCAACTGAAAGCTGGCTAGCCACCTGCCTTCTGCTGCCTCTGGCCAGAACGGGGGGAGCTGGCATCTCCTTGGGATCTTCCCAGGGCCACTTTGCCATTCTGGATAAGCCTGGTCACCTCTCTCCTTCCAGGCGCCTGCTGTGTTCCAGGCCTGCTCCCCAGAGACCCCAGCCCTGGGTGGCCAGATGGACCGCGCCCATCCCAGCCCCTCCAGGCCCCAGCCCACGTCCTCCTGCTCATAGCTGCTCCTGCTCCTGCCCCTGTTATGCTGCCGACAGCTAAGCAATGTGGGGACACACGGCAGTCCTGAAGGGAGCAGGGCTGGAGGCCTGGCCCTCCGCACTCTTCCTCAGCCGGCTGTGTCCTGTGATGGAGACAGCTTCCAGCCCCTTCCAAGCCAGTGGCAGCCGGGAGCGCCCTCTGGGTAAGGCATGGGCGCCGCCAGGGACCCCAGTGGCCAGGGCCACTGTGGGCCTCCAGCCTACCTCCTGGGCTTCCAGGACACCGGGCAGAACAGAACAGGCCTGGGGCGGGGGAAACCGTCTGCAGGCTCGCCCTACCTTCCCGCTTCCAGGCAGGCTCCGGGCCCAGCTCCAGCCCCAGCTCCGCCGCCCAAGGGGACCCGCCCTCTCCTGGGCCAGCCGCAGCGAGGTTCAGAGGGAGCTTTCCAGAAAACTGCGGCGGGCGGAGGGCGGTCGTGCAGCCTGCCTCCCAGGGCGCCCGCCCGCCCGCGAGGGAGCCGGCCGCCCGCGTGACCTACATGCGCGTCTGGGTGTTTCTGAGGGTGAGGCCCAGCTCTTCCAAGGTCTCCTCGATCTCCTGCGTGTTCTGAATCAGCGACAGGTTCTGCTCCTCCAGATTTGTGAAGACGTCCAGGAGCTGCTGGGGCTCCGTGAAGTAGAGCTGCAGCTCCTGAAACCCAGCGGCGTT